GCCTTCATTACTATGCGCTTCCCTATTGTTCCAGGCCCTAAATTGGTCTGCTTCTCTATACCTTAATTGCACATATTTGTAACGGCTGAAATTATAAATTCAGTCATAGAAAATGGAGATAACAAGTTCTAGAATGTGGGTGAACTGTAGAATGTCCACTTTGCCTATTGATTGAATGGAAAAAAATTATCTCAAATGATCTCAACTCATTAAGACCATCCTGAAAGGGAAAGGGAAGGTCAGCCATCTAATTGATGATGCCCCTACTGAAGGAGATACCAAATTCAAGTCATGGGATGAAGAAGACTCCTTGATCATGGCATGGCTATGGAACTCAATGGTTCCGGAAATCAGCGATACATGCATGTTCCTCAATTTTGCAAAGGCAATATGGATTGTAGAAGAGGAAACCTACTCTGAGGCAAAGGATGCTGCCCAAATTTATGAGGTAAAGGTAAAAACTATGAAGGACAAACATGGTACTAAAACTGTTATGGAATATGCTAATCAACTCAAATCATTATGGATGGAACTGGACCATTATCGGGTCATAAAGGCCAAGTGTTATGATGATTCAGCAATTCTAAGGGAATACATTGAACAAGACCGGGTGTATGACTTCTTGGTAGGTCTAAACCAAGAATATGATCAAGTCATGATCCAAATATTGGGAAAGGAGAAGGTTCTTGGACTCATTGAAGTAGTGGCAATCAAGGTTGTCAATCTCGAGAGTTTACGTAATCTCATGGAGACTCCATAAACTCATATCGTAAACTCATAAGAGATTACTCAATAAAAAAAATTAGAAATAACATAATAATTAAACATTTTAACTCCATATTAAAATGTAAAATAACAAATTACATTAATAAAAAATGCCAAAGTTAACAATGAATTCCAAAAAAAAAAATTTAAAAAAAACCCTAACTGGAGTCGCAATGTTGCGTTGCTTGCGGAAAAGCCTCGAGGAGGCATTGCGAAGCTATCGGAGAATAGCCTCAAGAAGCTGCACAACTCGTGGAGGAGAAGACAGAGGATCGCGCATAAAGGAGAAGAGTGGTTCGTGGAGGAGAACACTGGTTCGCGCACGGAGAGGAGTGATTTGCGCCTTTGTGGGGGAGAAGATAGAGGAGGAGAAGAGTGGTCACCTTCACGAAGGATAAGAGTGGTTCACGCCTTTGATGTGGAGAAGACAATGGAGGAGATCGTTCATAACATGAAGAGAGTGAAATGAAACTCTAGCGTTTAGTTTATTTGGAGAACAAAAAAAAATTGTGATCTCTTAAAATCAGACTGATCTCGCGATATTACACGAGATCACGCGAGATTACTCAAAAACGAATTTACTTCCGAGTTATACAGGTAAGCTGTCCTAATCTCGTAAACTTGTACGAGTTTACGAGTTATCACTAGAGATTGACAACCATGGTGGCAATTATTCAAAGTGAAGAGAGTAGAAGGAGCCTATTGTTAGAGACCCCAACTGCTGATAGTTCAGCTCTGATTGTTGAAGGAGCAACAACCATGGTTGTGGAACAAAAGAAAGCAGGCATTCTTCCAAATGGTGCACCTATTGCAACAAGCCACGCCACATGAGGGACAAATGTTGGAAGTTGCATGGAAAACCTTAAAGCAAAGATTGGGGACACAAAGGACACCCCCAAGGAAAGGGGTCAACTGTCAAGTTAATGTTGGTGTTGGTCCTAAAACTCAAGAAGGATTCGTCTAACTCAACCATGAGGAGTTAGAGAGAGTAAGATCCTTTCTTAGTAAATTGGAGAAACCCACAGGTACATGTTCATTAACATACTCTGGTAAGTTCCCATTTTTTTGGATTTAATGTCTCAAATACACCTTTTACCCATTATTGGATTCTAGAATCTAGAGTCACAGACCATATGACACGAATCCCTAAACATTTCTCCACATATTCTCCATGCCCCAACAATAAAAAAATTTCCACAGCTGATGAAAGCCTTATAACTGTAGTTGACTAGTTGGCCAAGGAGATATCCAAATCATGGTTATCGAATCAAGATTCAAATCGTGAATCGAAAAAGTTATTTTATGAATCGTGAATCGTATCGTATTACAAATGGTAAGATACAAAAAGAATAAAAATACACACTAATATATCATCTATTGAGCTATGAAGTATGAATCACAAAATAATTCAAGATCATAGTCATATATCAAAAAAACAAAAAGTAGTGATTGCACTAAGTTGAAGTCTTTAAGTTCAACCCCTAAATACAAAATGTGATGGAAAAATGCAAATTACTATTTCCTACTTCTACACCTTAGTCTTATGCTTTCATCCATCATCTCCAAGATCAATGTCACTTAGTTCATCCTCTTCCTCTAAAATCAAATGCTCCTCTTCTTCCGCTTCCTCTACATCTCCAATTGTCTCTTATGTTTCATTTTCCTCTCTTGTGATGGTAGATTTTCCCTTCCTATCATCCTTAGCATTTAAGTTTCTTGGACCTATTAAAAAAAAAACTTAATGAGTATCTTAACATAATTTTATAGTTTTATATTTAAAGTACATGTTCTAAATCTAAACTTGAAACTTAAACAAATACCTCTCTTCCTTTTTTTTCTTGGAGCTCCTTCTTCTAAAGTAAAAGACTTATGTATATCCATCCATGAAGCATCTATTAGTAGGCATGGATTCTCTTTTTCAGTAATCCATTCATCATCTGATTCAATATCAGATAAACATATAGGATCATAAGTATCTCCTTTCTCCTCTTTAACCTTGTGCCTCATCTCAAGTTGAAGGTTATACTTAACAAAGACAAGAGCATTTAATCTTTGTTGTTCTAAGCGGTTTCTTCTCTTAGTATGAATTTGATCAAATATGCTTCAATTTCTTTCACATCCTTTAGTACTACAAGTGAGACTCAAAACTCTCATTGCTAGTTTTTGTAACTCTGGACATTCCCCACCATAATTTTCCCCCCAAATAGCTGAAATATCAAAACAAAAGCCAACTTAAATAAATATTATCTTGGCTGCCATGCTCTTTTAAAATTATAAGAGATAAGCAAATCTTTAGGGGGAGAATTTAAGAGAGGAAGATAAGCCCCTCATATTACCAAATTTGTCCTTTGGACCAAAAATTAGAAAAACTACTATTGAACTAGAAATTGGAAAAAATACTACTACTATTTGTGGAGCCAAGGCTGAAGAGGAACAAGTAGAGGAGAATCAAATCCATGCACCAGTAGGAACAGTAGCTGGTGCAGGACTATGATACAAAATTTTGAAAAATTTTGGTGTACACACGAAGAGGAAAGGCCATTCCAAGATCTACTCATGTCCAAGAATCCAACCCTACATCATTACATGCAATAAATCCTTTTGATCCTATAAATTCTAATTCTGCTAATTGTGATGAATTTCCTTTAGAAAAACTAGCTGCACTAGTGGACCATAACTTAAAAAAGGCACTTATGGGTTGAAACAATCACCTAGAGCGTGATTTGGGAGATTCATCAAAGTCATGACAAACCTTAGATACAAATAGAGCCAAGGGGACCACACTTTATTTGTCAAACATTTTGATTCAGGGGGAGTAACAATATTTTTGGTCTATGTGGATGATATGATTGTCATTGGGAATGATAAAAAGGAACAACAAAGGTTGAGTCATTGCCTTGCCATGGAATTTGAAATGAAGATCTTAGGGAAGCTAAAATATCTTTTGGGGATTGAAGTGGCCAATTCCAAGAAAGGGGTCTTCATATCTCAACAAAAATACATTACTGACTTACTTGAAGAAACAGGTAAGAAAGCCTCCAAAACCAACAAGTACACCAGTTGACCCAAATATAAAGTTGGGAAGTGTGGAGGAGGATGTTGTTGTGGATAAGGAAATGTACCAAAGACTTGTGGGCAAACTCATTTACCTATCTCACACTAGGCTAGATATTACCTTTGCTATGAGTCTACTCAGCCAATTTATGCACCAACCAAAGGAAGCACATTTACGAGTTGCCCTTAGAATTGTCAATATTTAAAAGGGACGTCAGGAAGAGGAATTTTGTTCAAACAAAACAAGAATGTTAGTCTTGAGGCATATACGAATGCTGATTATGTGGATTTAGTTGTGGATAGGAAGTCAACTACTGGATATTGCACCTTCCTTGGTGGAAACCTAGTAACTTGGAAGAGCAAAAAACAAAGTGTGGTAGCTAGATTTAGTGCTAAAGTAGAATTTTGAGCAAAGGCCCAAGGAATTTGTGAATTGTTATGGCCGAAGATTATATTGGAAGACTTAAGGATAAAGTGGGATGAACTTATGAGGTTATGTTGTGACAATAAATTGCAATTAGTATAGCCCACAATCCGGTAAACATGATAAAACTAAACATATTGAATGGACAGACATTTTATCAAAGAAAAGCTTGACAGTGGCTTGATTTGCATCCCATATGCGTCCACTCAAGGTCAACTTGCAGACATACTCACCAAGGGCTGAACAATTGTAACCTTGAAAGAATTATATCCAAGCTGGGAATGGAGAACATTTATTCACCAGCTTGAGGGGGAGTGTCAAAATATATTTTAGGAAGCTTTAGATATTATTCTTATTGTATTTTAATTTTTTATATTTGTTGTATCTTGCTATTAATACTAGGTTTGTATATTTAGAAACAATCCCACAATCACCGGGATTTGTTCCCTAGAATAACAATCCCACAATCATAGGGATTTGTCCTTTAGAATAGGTTGTTCCCATTTTCTAAAATAGCCAACAGGCTCATGTATAAGTCTGATGTATCTCATGATTAAAATAATATACGAAACATATGATTTCTTCTACATTTGAGAAATCTATATCCTAGAGTCTCTATACAATCAAAAAACAACTTTATAAAAGTTGAACGACATATATAAAAACAACTTTTCTAACACTTTCTATTATATGATGCTAGAAGAAATATAATTGTGGCAAGAGAGGATATATTAATATGAATTTTTATTTTTTTCAGGTTGAGTTTGTTGGTGGTCCAATGTGTTGGAATACCCGCCTTTTCTCTGCAACTGCAGGTGAAAGAAATTTTCCTAACTTCCATCAATCCCTTAAAGAAAATAAAAATGAAGTATAGGCTACATTATACTTTTGATGTTTTTCTTTCAAAATATTCATTGCAGTCTTTTATCTTTTAAATTTGACTCAATTTGATCCTTCCAAAACAATGATCTTTTTCGAGTTTGTGACAACTTTGGATTATTTTTTATGGATTCAAGATGTGAAATTTGTCTCATTAATTTCACCTACATGAGAACTGTTGAACTCTATTGATGTTCAAACCAAAAAGACATAAACATGATGAAAATTGCATTAAAATGAGTTCATTGAGCCGTCAGAAAATAAAAAATCTAATATTATATTCTTTTCTGGTTGCTCATGGGATTTTTTTGCATGATGTTTACTTTGTTTATAGCCATTTTAAGTTTGAGCATCAATTGGGTTTCACAGTTTTCATGTAGATAAATCTAATATAAGTCTCCCATCTTGAATCAATTAAAAGAATATTCAAAATTTTGATCTAATTTTCCCAAATTTAAAAGATAAAAGACTAAAATTATAATTTAACCTTATGTATGATAGTTTATTTTCTGCAAAATTTATCAATAATTTCAAATTTCTATGCTAATACAGTTCACTTATAGGTGGTGGAGCATTCTGCAATGGCCAAAGGATCCAAGTGAGTGCAACGAATCAGGTGATTAGCGAAAAATTGATACCTTGAGTACAGAAAGTGAACAGCAATATTGTTCATCGTGATTTGAGGCTTTTATAGAACAACCTAAAATACTATTTATCTGGTGTTTCATGATTGTTTAATGTTTTAAGTAATATTCCTTTGTTTTAGGTGGAACGATCTCTTCTAGTTACAGGCTTTGGGTATGATCACGATGATGCGTGGGCTACTAACATAGACTTATTCAAAGAATTTACGGATGTCAGCAGGGTATTCATCTGAAATCTATTTGAATGAACCTCATATCTCTTCCTTTCACTTCATTTTCTTGACTTTGATGTTTAGGGTGTAAGACGGCTTGGTGCAGCTGCTGTGGACATGTGTCATGTAGCATTGGGAATTGTAGAAGCTTATTGGGAATATCGTCTAAAGCCATGGGATATGGCTGCTGGTGTTTTGGTATGGTTTATGAGTTTCACATCATTGATAATTATTCTGACAAGTTAGTAAGCTTAACATCTTTGGGATTGAATGATGTTTGGATTTAACATGGGAAGAGTAATTTGTCATGAACAAAAGACATGCAAGATCTTATTTGTCTAATGATCATGATAGGCAATCAAATGCTGATTAAAGAATAAATTTTACGCAAACTTCAGTAAGATCAGGTCCAACATGTGTATATAAGCTTATGTTAATGGTTACTTTCATGAAACATCAATTGTTAATATTTTATTGTTTAAAGACAAATAATAGCAAGGGTGGACAACGCACAAACCATTTTTTCCTTGTATTGAAATTGAACTTAATTATGAGTTCAATAATGGAGGAAGCAAAATCGAACACTTAATTAAGTGTTCATAAAGCTTTTTTTTTATAATATCAATTACCAACTATCCTAAAATCTCAAATTATTAGATGATGTCAGGGGGGATGTTTTGAGCTTTCAACATTTATTGAATATGTTGAGCCATAAATATGTAAATATTTTCTGTACATATAATTATTAGAATATTTTCTGTATATATAATTATTAGGATGGTTTATTCACAATCCCTTAAATGAGGGGAGATAGTTAGGCAATTATTTCCTTTATCTCCCTTTTTGGAATGATTTCAAGGAGCATCAAAAAGGGGGAAAACCTCTACAGGTTTATTATTATAGAAAAGGAAAGGGCCAAACTGATAGTTGACAGGGTCAAATTGTAACTTTGGTTTGGGAAGCTGAGTTAGTTAAATCAGTGTTGATAGTTTGTTATTAGTTTGATGTAAATCCTATAAATAAGTCCTCTATTGTACAAACCGGACATTTTTAGTGTGAAAAGGAGAGTGCTCCTTTTGGGGGTATACTTGTATACCTTGGTTCTTGTGAGTTATGTTCATAATTAATAGAGGCAATTCAGTTTTCTTTCTTGTTGTGAGTGTGTGCTGATCTTGGTTAGGATTTTGTTCTTTTCCTATCTCAAGAAGAGATTCCTAACACTCCCCGTATCATATTATAAATTTTCGATATTCAGTTTTATCATTCTAGCAATCATTTAATTATGAGTACATTGTTTACATATTTTTGTTCCATCTACTTGTAGATGGTTGAGGAAGCTGGTGGCACAGTTTCTCGGATGGATGGCGGAAAATTTTGTGTTTTTGATAGATCTGTTTTGGTTTCAAATGGTCTGCTCCATGTAAAGGTTAGTCTTTTCTGATTTTGCTTTTTGGAAACGTATGTTGCATTGCACCCTTTGGATAACGATACATCAGTGGTCCTTTCATGTTAAGAGCTCTAACTAGTTTCATCACCATTTAGAGACAATTGTTTGCAAGTAATCTATTTTTAATTTCATTTTAGGTCCACAAGCCTTCAATTTTTCTTAGCATATTTAGCACATTAACAGCACTCCTCACTCCCCAGTTGTGCAATTTCCTCTGTTCTTTGTTCTTTTCTAGTAGCTCTTATCCATACCTATAGCAAGCTTCTACATTGAACTGACGTGCCTTTAACTGCCCGTGAGTTATCCATTGTTTATCAAATGTTGGCTTAAAGGGACAGGGCTTAGTTCTGCTAAAGCTTCCTCGTAATATGGCCCAACCTAGCTGGCTCCTATCTATCATTGTGCTGATTGTGCTTTTATCACTTTCTCCCATCATCTCTGCAAGTTTCCAGCCTCTCAACAGCACTTGAATCATGCCTCCTAGCTCGCCCCTATCTATTCTTAGTTTTGTCGGTTGAGTCTCAGGCCTGCATTCATATTATTTTATGTCTGCCTGGAACTGTTTCTCTCTCCCCTTCATTGACCCTTGCTGGGTCCACCTCTTTTAACCCTCTTAAGGCCGAGCTTGCTATTCACACCATGTCTATACCCGCTCTCAAACTATTTTTTTTATGTTACAAGTTTTCCAAGATTAAACTTTGCCTAAGACTAATTGCATTTTGTTATGAGATTTAAGTAACTCATCATGTGCTAACTTTAAATTTTATATGGCTTAAAATTATTGAGACTTATTTTCTGATTTCTTTAAGTATAGAATATAAATAACTAGAATGCAGTTAATGAAAATGTAATTTGTTTCGGTGGTTTATATGCCTTCTTCACAGCTTTTGGAGAGAATTGGACCTGCAACAGAGAAATTAAAAAGCAATGGAATTGATTTCTCATTGTGGTATAAACCGGAGAACTACAGGGCAGATGTTTAAGGCGCCAAGAATTGCTTTTGATTATGGACACTGCTACAGACATTAAAAGCATAAAAGCAAGCAGATGGTATTTTTTTTCTTCTTTAGATTTGAGCAAATCTTCTAGTTATAGTTTTAAATTACATATATTAAAATTGTTTTTGATTACAATAATTACAGTTCCTTCAACATCTTTGAGAGGCGCATAATTGGAACACAAAAATATTTGCGATATATTTCTACCCATGCGGTATTTTAGAAGTAATTTTAAAATCATTTTACATGTGTTGTAAACATCATGGAGATTGGATAACCTTGTCATATCTTTGAGCTCTTTTGATTTGCTTCCATCTTTTACATATCCTCTCTCCTCCCCTCCCCGAGTATGTATTGAGTGGATAATTTTGATTTTTATAAATTCAATGCCCTAAGAAAAGAGAAAAGTAGGACTACTGAGGAAGTTTTGCGGGGCAAACAATTCTTATCTATCCTCCTTGTCATGTAGTTTTTCTTGGTAAAAACAATTTATTTTTTATTTTTTTTATTTTTGCATTTGAGGTCTCTACTGTTATATGATCTCTCTCAAAATCCTGAAAATTAAGATATTTTTTTTTGGGTTAGTTGAATCAGTAGAGATGACAATTATACTCAAATCCTTTGTGTTAGGCTAAGACTATGATAAGCAAGGAACGGAATTTGGGGAACAAAAATTCCTCTTTATACACAATGATGAAATAACACAAAAAAAAAATCATAAAAATAAAGAAATACTACACATTTATTTAATGTGATTTAGTTTCTCATGCCTTTATCCACAAAAATATTAAATGAATATCCATTATCTCAAATTTATTTAATGTGATTCAAACTCTCATGCTTACATTTAGGATAACATCTCACATGACTCCTCTCTCTCATTTAAGGTGGTGATTCCTTCTATAAGTTAGGTGAGTTTTCACATCTTAAGAGTCTATTTATCAACTTTGCATCCTAATATTATAAGAGGAAACAAATCTCTAAAATAAATATCATATTTTCAATTCTAAACAATATCTTGAAGAAAAGATAATATCTTTTATATCTAAACAATATCTAAGAGAATTAAAATTAGAAATTTGAGTCATTATTCCAATGATGTTTGCATCAATTAAAATTTTCAAATTTTACCTTCAACTTGTTGTCATGGATGATTGTCATAATTGACTTGAATCATATTTTTAAACTTTGAAGTTTTTCTTGTCTCCACTCTACGATTACTTATACCGTCGTTAACTACTACCAATAGAACTCGTCACTTGGAAAAGAGATTTTCAAATTCACAAAAGATTATGAACTTTTACAACAAGAATAAGAAAACCTTTTAGATGAGAACAAGAAGTTGAAAGCTGCAAAGCCTAAGAAGAGTCTTAAAGATAGACCTATTGACGAAGTGAAAGGGCAAACCTTGAGAGAAAAGATCTCAATGTCTGTTATGAGATTTAACCATATAAACAAAATTCTTAAATACAAAAGAGATCCTTGAATACAATAAAGATTCTCATAGCAAACTTGGACTTAGTTATTTGGAATAGAAAGTTAACAAAGCTTCTTTTAAGCATCGACATCCTACTGGACGATCTAAGGACAAATATGACCAAAAATACTAAAAGAACCTAAAGCCTTCATAATCGATAAGAATGGATCCAAGTCCATTTGGGTCCCTAATTGTTGCATGTGTCTGACTGCATGAAAAGCATCTCTATATGGTACTTGGACAATGGATGGTTGCTTACATTACATGACAAGTGAAAGGTCTATGCTCAAAGACCTTAGACCCAAGAATGACAAATGAGTTACCTTTGGAGGTAACCAGAGTGGCAAAATAGTTAAGATTGGTATTATTGGTAAACATCATTTCCCTTCTGTTGATAATGTGTTGTTTGTTGAAGGTCTAAAACAGAATTTGCTTAGCATTAGTCAAATGTGTGATAGAAAATATGATGAAACATGGGTAAATGTTTAGTTAAGAATATTGTTTGATCAATCTTATGTTCTACTTGGAGCACCAATAATACAAGTGATTTTACAAATCAAAATGTAAGCTACCTAGTATCTATGACATATGGTCACTAGATATGACATAAGAAGCTTGGACATGAAAGCTTGAGACGTATCTCAAAGCTATATGAGCATCATCTTATAACTTGTATTCTAGTCAGATCTTTTATGTGATGCGTGTTAGAAAAGGAGATATGGTCTAGTAATAATCGATGATTATACTAGGTGGTCTAGAGCCAACCCTTCAACCATAATCCTTTTTATATCCAAACTAAGCTTAGTAGTATGATCCCTTCAAGATTCCTCTCAAGGTTCATAATTTTCTAACAGGGTTTTAAGATGGCACAACTAACAAGAGTAATTAGGTTTAACCTAATAGACTCTTTACATAAAAATAAAAAAGCATATTATAGTTACGAGGATGAAAGTTCAGCAACTTTTAGAAAATAGATTTTATTCCATTAAAATATTATTTTATAAAAATCCTTTTATGCGAAGTCAAAAGACAATCATTAGATTCTTCATTTTTTGTTAGTTTTAATAATAACAAATACTACTCTTTTCAGCAAGAAAATGTTTTCAAAAAGTTACTATTTCAGATTAAGTAAGATGAAGTAACGTATGTAAAATGAAATAAATCAAAAGAAGCATACAAATGTTCGTTATGTTCTTAAAAACTATTATGTATTGTAACTGACACGTTTAATTTTTCAAAATAAATGCTTTATATTTATATCTTAACAAATCAAAAGTCATTGTCTTGGAACTCACATTCTGTTAAAAGTGTATAAAAGCATGTAAAAAATAAGAACAAAGGACAAAGATCTCAGATCTCACGAAAAAAACGTACTAAAAGCATTGTATCCTAGTTGCACACTGTCCCTGCTTCTTGTTGTTCCCACTTTGCCGCTCTATTTTGATAAGTAACTTGATCTATCAAAGATAAGGAGTACATTTGGGTGAAAGGAATTTATTGTAGCATTTAATATACCAATGAATACTTCCTCTCTCTCTCTAAATCAAACGAAGGAGTAAGATAAAGCAACTTTGTGAGTCATACTTAAAAAGTTACAATAGTTATCTCTTTTGAAACTACTATATAAGAAGCTCTATAATTCGAGAAAAATAGAGAAGACAGAGAACACTTACAACTCAAAAGAAAACCACGCACATAGAAAATCTTCTTCAAAAGATCCCTTGTGCTTAAACTTTGGTTGCAATCATGTCTAAAGAATATGACAATAACAACCTTATAATACCTTTATAACCATTGTTATAGGGCAGAACCTGAAAAAATTTATTTGTAAAAGAATACTTGAGATTAAGTCTGGAGAGACTTATTTGTAAAAAGAATACTTGGATAGTTAGTTAAAGAGGTCAGTCAAAGAACACTCATGTTAAGCCATAAGTGGTTTGGTAAAAGAATATTTATGACTTTGTTGAAAATTAGTGGAACTCAATCTGGTTGGATTGAGAGTTGGGTGTAGCCTCGGTGGTTGAGGTGAACCAATATAAAAGCTGATTGTGTTTATTGATTATTCTTGCTAACACTTCATCTGTTGTAGATACTATTTCACTGAATTGCAAATGTGCAGATTTTTAATATACATTATTTAACCCTCTCTTCTAGTGTCTATTTTTTCTCTACATTTTATTATAAAAATCCAATTTCAACACCCATTAATTTCCCAAATTCTTTTATTTAATTAAAAACTTAATTTTATTTTATTTATATAAGTCGAGATGCTACAAGATTTTTAAATTAAAGTCCATTACCTAAGGAAACTAGAAATAAGGAACTTGATATATCTTAGTAAATTAATTTTATCTATAAAGACAAACTAGCTTACTTTTACAAAATATTTTATAGTTTCTTCATCTTTACCTTTTCATTATTCTTAATACTAAGGTTAGGTAATCAATCATTGCAGTACATCCTGTTCGGCCTTAGTTCTCCATCCAGCTTTCAAGAATTGTAATACAAACATCGTGTTTAAGTTTTAAACATAAATGTTACTTATCAATTTTAGACTCATCAGCTTCACATTTTACTCACTTTAATCAATCACTATTAAGAGGTTAGTTTTTCTTTTCCTTTTGCCTACCAAGTGGTTGAATTGTTTAGTATGGAAACGAAATATTTTATGTTGAAATTTCTTAGCTATATTGTTCCTTAATGCTACACTTTAAAATTTCTATTTCTACTTTTTTTATAACTAAAGGTTGTTTTTATTTTTTATTTTAAACTTCTTTGAAAACATTGAAAAATAAGTAGGGAAAAAATTGAAATAAGTTTTTCTATATGTTAAAATTGATTTATATGTAAGTTAGAATTAAGATTTTATAAAAGCTAATAAAAGAAATATTGTATAAATTAGTTTGTGCATAAGTTACTTTTAACTTATGAAAAAGTTTATTTCATTTTTTTCTTAATAATTATCTCTCCTAAAAATATTTTTGGAGAAGTTTATCCAAACAAATTTTAACTCCTAACTAAATTTTACTCTTTAGATCAAACTTTATTAACTTTTATCATATGATTTATAATACAATTATAGTTCAATATTTTTACAGTGGCTTAATTATGAATTTAGTCCTCCAAATTTGGAATATATATATATATATATATATTTTTTTCAAATTTAAAACTTGTAATTTTAGTTTTAAAATATAAAAAATTATTGTTTTCCCTTGAATTGAACTCAAATGATGTTACAAAAGTTGCTTATATGGATAATGAATTATAGGCTTTTTTGTCTGCTAGATATAATATATTACATGTCAATAAATGTCACATGTAATTCAAGTTAACTCAAATTTTACTATTAGGTCTCAATTTGATTTACTGATTTGTCGTCCGTTATCCATGTAAGCATCGTTTGTAACTCCATTTTTGTTTAGAGACAAATAATAATTTGATATTTTGGGACTAAAGATGTAGGTTTTAAATTTGGGAGAAAAAAATACATATGATAAAAGTGATAGGAAATTGAAAGAATTTTAATTAGAAATGACACAAATTCAAGATTTCAATCTTTACAGAAAAAATTTAATAATTCAAACATAAAATAATAATCCAAACATCTTCTCATCAACATGAATATCATTTGATTGTAGATCTAAATCTAGACATAAGAATTTCACAAGAACAAAATTAGTAATTGCATATCTTAATTTCTAGAAATTCAAGAACATTGAACGTGTTAATTTAGACAATTAATCAATTACTTAATTCTCGTCTAGATTGGATTAATCAATCCTAATGTAATTCAAATATAGATTTAAAAACACAATTTATAATCACAAATCATGAAATTAGATCTAGAAAAAAAATAGAAGATGAAAAATTCGTACGAAAAAATTAGACTAGAACTCAAGTTTTACCATAATTTACAAAACCTTGAATTGATAAGCGAATTAACCAGAAAAATCAACCAAGAATATAAAA